TCTACTGTACATAAATATGATGGTATTGAGACGAGGCAACTCTTACCAACTGAATTTCGCCAGATTGGTGGTCGAGCTGGACGATATGGCCTCTCTGCCGGAGCTGAAGGGGGTGTTGTTGCATGCATGCACGAGGATCATCTGCCAGCGCTCTTCGCCGGTTTTGGCCTCGAATGGACCGAAGATACTTCGAGATAGAAGTCCCTAACCGGTTGACTATTTCCGACACTGTCACTCAAGCTGCTTTACTCCCTGAAAGCAGCATTCTCAGTGCCTTCCACTGCGAAGCGGCGGCTGCTTTAGGAGAGGAGTGCTTATCAGCTGCCAAAGTTTTCAGTACTTTCGCAGATGTTGCTCATACCGATCCTATATGTTATCTGGGAACCTGGTCTAATCGGATGGCCAACATTGCCAAATGCTTGGCTGATATCGAGGAATTGTCCTTCCAGCAGGTGGTTGAGTTCTGCTCGGCTCCGGTAGATCCTAACGATCCTATAGTGCTCAGCGGGTTGAGAACCTTCGCCCAGTCCCTAGTAGCAACGAATCAAGTCCCCCTCCCTGATAATATGGTATTTGATGCCCAAACCCCGACAACGGTGTCCGCAGTGTTCCATCTAGAAAGGATATGTCAAATATACGATCTTTATCTATGGTTGGCACGAAGAAGCAACCCCTTGGTGTATAGATCCGAGAAGGAAGCGCGCGAGGCTCGAGCGGAGGTCGTGGAGGCGATTACGAATGCTATCAGAGGCCAATTGGAGATCGATTCATCCGAAGACGTAGTCGCCCGGGTTGCCGAACAGTTGATGGATGATGATCTTCCTGGGAGTCGACGTAAGATCAGAAGCATCGAGCTTGGGTCGGTGTCATGACTCGTTTCTTGTGCTAATTCGGCGTTTCTGTTTATCTTGTTTATGCTCGAGTTCTTCAATCCGTAGAACAATTTCGAACTGGTCCTGGAGTCGGTCCTATCCTTTCAAAAAGATTTCGGTTTTGTTCGATTGCTATTCTCGCGTTGATTCTTGGGGAGCCCAATATTTCAATCTAGAGG